ATTTGTTCCAACTATTTCTGGTAAATCTAAACTATGAATAACTTTAGCTATGCCATTAGCAATGCCTCAGAACTGCAGACGGATTTTAGTTTCTGGACACAGGCACATGGCAGTCCCACTGTTTCTAAAGGCGTACCCCAAATCTGTCACATTTGGGTACAAAACCAGTACTTGTCGTTCACACTGGATTACAGCTGTATCTAAAGCAACTTGGAACACAAAGATATTGTGGCCATTATTTGTCCAGTATAAAACATTGTAGCTTGGCAACATTCTGTGAAACTTTGTGTATTCAATCTGCTTAAGGATTTACCCTCCCCTGAATACCAGACCAAATGGAAATGAGAGTGGGAGTAGACCTAGACCTGCTGCCAGTGCTGAAGGCTTTTATTCTGCCCTGAAAACTAGAAAGATCTTTAGTGGCATTTTATAAGTTGTTGGCTTTAGTGTAGAGTAGGCCTTCGAAATATTAAATCTTCAGAAGGTGATTTTTTTTTTTGGATTGTTGTTTGCTTTTCATAATTTATTTCTCTACTTTTCATATATAAATGATTGATCAAAGAACCATTGTCAGAAAGCACTGAGGAAAATTTTTTCCTTCTTTTTTATGAATGTACTTGGGTGAAAGATGGGAGATTATAAACGTATCTACTGGCCATCCCAGGAAATTATCTGTCACACGCATAGCGTGGTGGTACCTCCTTGTGGAACCGAGTCCTCTGTTTGGTCTTTCATTCATCTAGAATGTACTTTTCTTGCATTTGTGTTTGATTGGGAATGACTCTTACTTTGCCTCTGTGTTGTAATCATCTGGCTTCATTCACCGAAAAGGAAAAGGAGGACACTCACCATGGGAGATCAAACACGGAGCTTCTGTGTGGGCAATCCTGTAAGACACTGACACCCCACCAGCCTTGTGTCTCACCCTGAGCCCTAAGCAGGGGCAAGAGCTTTATAACTGCACTCCTGGTGCTCCCACGCTGCTGCCCTGGAAAGTGCTGTCCTACCTCCTCACTTCAGAAAATAAAAAAAAATTTAAAAATCCCACTGCTTTTCCTCAGAGTACATGTACTTAAGAATGTTTTTAACTGTTTGCTTGGAAATAAAATTAAGGTGATAAAAGGCAGCAAGGAATTATCTTTTTTTTTTTTTTTGCTAATACTTGATCGTCACCTGCAAAGAGGCTGGCAAAGGTCCCAGCCACCAGTCAAGGCTTGAGAGAGTCCCAGCACTGTTCCTGGTTGTCACTCTCTGTTTTTGCTGTAGTTTGTACCTCCTTCCCAGAAGGTGCCTGGGTGAGCAAGCTGTCTGGATTACAGCTTTGCTCCTTCTGTCTGCGACAGCCATGAGAAAGCAGGCAGATGTGCATGCTTTCCACAGAGTGCCTAAACATTTTGCTGGTTTTACGTAATGAAAGCACAAGAGGGGATGGTTTAATAAAAGAAAAACAACTCTGTGAATGAAACACTCTACCTCTCTCTGTCCCTGAGTTGATTACTCTCTCTCCTTGATGAGGAAAGCGGGGCTTTCCCACCGCTGCCACAGGTGCCATATCTCAGCTGAAATGTCCGCCAAGTCCTGGCTTCCCCTGCTTGAGCTTTAATAACTTCTGTTCTTCTGCCAGGTGATCCCTAATTAGCCATTATCAGATGACCACAGCTGCACCCAAGTGACTTCATGGACTAGTTAATCTTCCCTCTGATGAGTCCATCCTTCCTAGGAGCTAGCTCTAAGGGAGGAGGAGGCTGGAAAGACAAGAAACGATGAAAGCTAGTGTTGCATTCTTAAAGCTGTTCCAGACGTGTACTCATCAGCAGACTGGTCTGCAAATGGGTTCCCCAAGCCATCCCATAAGAAAGGAGGCCTGAGGAGAGATAATAACAAGATAGATGATAAACCCATAGTGTGTGTATGTGTGTGTGTGTGTGTGTGAGAGAGAGAGAGAGAGAGCTGGGTTGGCAGGATTGTTTGCTTTTGAGAAAGACGAATTAATCCTTTTCTATATTGGCAGAAAAAACATGTGCCCTTTCTTGATAACATTACATATTATAGGTCCGTCAATCTTCCAGGTTCCATTAACAATATGCAGCTAAGGTGGGACGTACTGAGAAAATGTGAATATAGTGGCTGGATATCATCTGGCTTTATGGACCAATACAGTTCGTGACAGTTCGGTAGATTACTCATAGCATTTTTTATAAAATATGCAAAAATATGCAAAAAAGAGGTTTTTTCAGGAGTGGAAAAGATACTCATCATGGTACATGATGAAATATGTTCCTCTGAATCAAGCCTATGGCAGTAGCTTTTAGAGCAGTCAGTCCCGGTTAGGCTTAACAAGGCTCAGAGGATGTAAGCTCCCCTAGAAATATCTATAGAATTATAATGCTCTAGTTAATAAAATAGATATTTAAAATAGCAAAGTCAGGTAAATTAAAAGGTCTAATTTAAGCTGGTAGGAGAAGGATGAAGGAAATTCTGCTGGTGAAAAAACCTACTTTTCTTCAGATACTACCTTAGGAGTTTGCTTTAGAGGCAAGTATTAGAAACTTTGAAACCTTCTCAGCCTTGAAATGACAGAGTTATCTAGAAATTTACTTGTATGCAGAGATCAGATTTATACCTTTATTTATTCCTAAACTGTAATCATCATGTGCATATTCACGTTGCACACGCACACCTGTGAAGTAACCCGAGACGCTATGAGACTTTTATTGGCATGAATCACGCATGAGTTACTCACCCTAAATGAGGGCTTAGAAGCCGATTTTTTTTTGCAAACTGACCTGACATGGCCCCTGTGTGTGCAGTACCATTGAGGAGGCACTGGGCCGATACGTGGGGTCTGGAGCTGCAGGTCTATTTTATGGAAATCTCTATCTCAGTGCTGCTGATCCCAAATATTTCCATCATCTTGGTACTTTCTGTAAGGATCTGGGCGAGCGGGGAGGAGAGGAAATGAGGTGGCATAAGTAAAAAGTAGCTGAAAGTAGCTTTTCAAAGTGAAAACAGCCACAGCTTTAAAAGGTATTGCCCGTGATTCTGGTCTCTTTGGGATGAGGGAATATTTCTTCCCTGTTCTTTTGGCTGAGTGTGTGGTTCAAGCCTGCAACCCGAAGTTACCCCCCCATAACCCCTGCCGCGCTTGTTTCTAGAAAAGCCCACGTTTACACCTGCTATCACAGCTTCGTTTCAAAGGGAACAAAACCAAAACGAAACAAAAATAATAAAAAAAAAAAACAAAACAAAACAAACAAAAAAAACACACACACCCCCCCCCCAAACTCAACCCGACACGCCGCGGCACCCGAAGCCGGCAGCGAGGGAAGGCTTTGACGGCCGGGCCGGGGAGGAAGCCCCGGGGAAAAAGGGGGGGGGGGGGGGGGGCTCCCCTGAGCCCTCCCCAACCGGGGGACGGGGCACCCCCGGCCCACCCGACGGCAGCCCCGCGGTGGGGGCCGCAGGCGCGCTGCTGCCCGCGCGGTGGCGCCCTCCGCTCACGGACCGTCCGCGCTGGCGCAGCGCCCGCCGCTCTCCGCGCTCCGCGGACGCGGAGCGCGGGGAGCGGCGGGCGTTGCGCCAGCCCCCGCCGCCGTCGGGGGGGGGGAAGCCCAGCGAGCCGCCGGCCGCCGGGACCGGGAGCGGCGGGGTGACCCCTTCGCTGGCGGCCCCTGCGCTGTCCCCGCTCCTGCCGGAGACCCTGCCCGCTCCTGCCCGCCCGGCACGGAACGACCACGGCGATAGAGCGTCCTGTGGCGTCCCCACTCCCGTCACACCCCCCCACATACACCCGGCACCGCGTCGGTGGCCATTTCTACGGGAATCATTTATTCACGTTAAATTTCCTTTCTCTCCGGAAAAAATATTGAAACCCTAAACGACCGTAACAGGAGTGTAATTGTACGGTGTGGTTTTTGTTGGTGTCGTTTTTGAGAAATCGATCTGGGCCCAAATAACTCCTCTAAGCACGTTACACCAAGCCCATTCAAATAGGAAACAGGAGAACTATATTATTGCTGCTTCCTGAACTCTCTGCTTATGATCCCAATAATTAAAATGTGCAGTAATGGCTCCTGTAGCCTGGATTTCTTTGGGTAATTCTCGGAAATGAAGGGCTCAATTTCGGCCGCCGAGGGAGGAAAGCGCGGAGACGAGCGCAATCGCAGCGGCTGGGAGCCCGCCGGTGGTCCGCGCCCGGCGCTCGCAGCATCACTTGGGGGAAAAGAATCCCGGCGGCGGGGAAATCCCCAGAGAAGGGATTTCCCTCCTAGTCCCTCCGGGAAATTAACTTTTTTTTTTTTTTTTTGGTCTCTTTTTCGTTCCCTCCCCCCACCGCCCCCCCCTCATGGCGATCCTCTCCCCTCTTGCTCTGCCAAGCGCTCCGAGTCGCACATCTGTCTCTGCACAAGGCGGGGAGGGGAGAGGGTCGGGCCAAGGGAGGGGGGGGGGAAGCCTCCCCCGCCGCCTCCGGGCCGCGGCGGCCACGCGTGGGACTCTCTCCGCAGGGCGGCCGTGGGGTCCGTCTCCCACGCCCCGCGGCTGCGGCACACGCGGTTACTGCGCTGCTGGTTTCCCCGGGGGGAGCCTTGCGTAATGAGAACAATACTAACAATTCTTAAAAAAAAAAAAATAAAAAAATAAAAAAGAGGGGGGAATTGAGGGGGCTTGGGGAAAAAAAAAAAAAAAAAAAAAAAAAGGCACTCCTATCACCAATTCTCTGGAAGCGGGGGTTCCGCGCCGGGGCTGCTCCGCCTGCGCGCTCAGGGCCGGCCGGCTCCGCGGGGGTGAGCTTGTCCCACGGAGAGACGGGGAACAAAACCACGGGGGAGACTGCCAAGTCCGGGGACCCCCACCGCACCCCAAACCGCCCTCCTGCGCCTCCCGGTCCCTTCCCACGGCAGGTAAAACTTGGCAGTGGCGAGTATCCTTTTAGGTTTGTGTGGGGCTATTCTGTGTGTTGCCGTTTGGTTGTTTGGTTTGGTTTTGGATTTTTTCTAATTTTTTTGGGGGGGAAGGGTGAGTTGGTGTTTATGAGAAGCTTTATGACTCCTGATAAGCTCATCTTTGAGGACGACACAGAACTGTGTTCCTTGAGGAATTGGAGTGGTGACGTCTTTTCTGATACCCGATTATTACGTGACTGGGGGAAAAAAAAAAGGCATTTGATTCATGAATAAAAATCCGGACACCACCACGGGGGCAACAAACAATATTGCCCGTCCTCTCAGGTAACAAGCAGGCAAATGTTTATGAAGAGGGCTGTTGCCGAAACGGGGTGTTTGCAAAGATTTTGTTGCTAATTGCGTATCAGACGGAAGGCTGCGGAAGGCTGGTCAAGTTTGAAGCCACCGAGCAGGAAGAGAAGAAGAGGAGAAGGCTGAAGGCGCTCAGTGAGGGGAGAGATCTGGGGAAGACAGCATCGCACGCAGCCAGCCCGCGGCTCCCGCCTCCGCTCCGCCCGGGCTCGCTCCCTTCCCCTTCCCCTGCGCTCCCTTCTCCGGCGACATCTCGCTCCATCCCTCTTTCTCCCTTCCCCTTGCAGACTCCACTCCAGATCTGTGCTGTTACCTGCAAACTTTTTTCCCTTTATCTTTTTTTTTTTTTTTCCTTCTTCTCTCTCTTTTTTTTTTTTTTTTTTTTTTTTTTTTTTTGAGTGGATTCCCCTAAAACCAACAAACAACTAACTGCTGCTTTTGCGTCTTCTTCATCCCGCGGGTCCTTCGCCCATCGGAGAGGCGATGCCACGAGGGTTTTAACTCCTTTCGGCCGCAACTTGGGAGACAGCTCGATTCCTCCCCCTCATTTTGGGTATTTTTTTTTTTAATTTATTTTATTTTTTAAGACCTGCCCCTTTAGTTTCGCAGCCAAACGCTCTTAGTGCCGGGTGTTTAGAGTTTGATGGTAAGGACACGAGGCGGCTGGCCGGGCCTTCCCGCAGCGCTCCCGGGGCGGGCGGGAGGGCGGGCACCGACGGGGCGGGCGGCGGCGGCAGCGCTCTGCGCTGGGCACCGCTCCGCGCCTCTCCGCGCTTCTCCGCGCCGGCACCCGGCTGCCCAGAGCGCTTGCCCCCAGGGGCCGCGCTACCTCCTGCCCCCGCAGGCTCGGCCAGGGGCTCAGTGGGTCGTGGGGTGGTTTTTTCTTTTTCTTTTTTTTTTTTTTTTTTTTTTTTTTTTTGTGACAGCGGTCTTCCTTTCCCTCCCGCACAGAGTGGCAATGTGTAGCAAAGCGATCCTAGCACTCCTGGTCTATGGCATAATAATGCACTGCAGCGTCTACTGCTCACCTGCGGCTGGACTTCAGTACCCGGCGCTCAGGTAGGTCCGTCCCCCCTCCCGGGGGCTCCGCCGGGACCCCTCCAGGCCCCCGCTGCCCCCGTTCTTCTAAGGGCTGGGGAATATCACTGGGGAGGAAAGTGGAAGGGGGATGTGGGGGGGAGTCACCAAACGAAACCCCCTCCACTTGGGCTATCCCCGGGATAGGAGCGTCCGGGAGGGTCAGACAGGGAGGGGGGGTCCCCCCTGGCTGCGGCACCGGCTTCCCCCAGGGCCGCTCCCCGGGATCCCGGCGCGGTTAAACCTGCGGCCTCTTGTCCCCGGGGAAGGGGACACACACACACACACACACACACACACACACGCACGATCCTCTCTGCTGCGCCTGGGCGGGAGCGGTCCGCGGTCTTGGCCGCATCTCGACGGAGCCCAGCAGCTCCCCCCGAGCCTGCCCCCTGTCCCGCTGGGGCCCTGGCCGCTTTCGGTTGCCCGCAGCTCGCCCCGGGTGTACGGCGAGCATCGCCTGTCCGGCCCGGGGGAGCGGGGCGGGGGGACGGGTGCGCCACTGGCTGCGAGCGTGTGAGAGCTGGCGTGGTTCGTGTGGCAGCGCTGGAGCTGACGGGGATTCAGTCTCTTCCCCTGTTTACCTGTCTGTGTGCGAGCGCCCTTCTCCAGGGGCAAAGCGGCTGGCACAAGGTTCTTGGCTTTTGTCTGTCTGCTCGGAGTTGTCTTGCTGGGCTCCAGCGCAGGCTGATGCCTCTGCTGTCCCTTTCCACCTGGGAGACGGGGGCCTTTGGACCCCGCTGTGTTTGGGGCGGGAGTGGGGGGACCCCCAGAGGCGTCGGCACCAGCGAGTTTCCCAGGCGGGGCGGCGGCGGGAGGCGCAGGGTGCCCGATCCGGGACGGCCGCTGCCGGCCTGGTCCCGCCCCGCTTTTAGCCCGCTGGGGCGGCCGGCGGCGCTTGGCTGAGGGGAGGGGGGGGGGGGAGTTTTGGGCTCGGTGCTCTTGTCCTGCCTCACCGGCGCCTGGCTCTATTGCGGGGTGCCCTGAGGGGGGGGTCACCTCTGTGCGGCTCAGCTCTGAGCGGGGGGGGGGGGGGGAGAACGATTCCGGGAGCGCAGGGCTGTCCGAGGAGGGTGTTCTTTTTGGGGCTTCGAGGTGCCCTTGCACGACCCGGGAGCCCGTCGGGGCTGGCTCAGAGCAGCCCTCTTCCCCTCCCCGGGCTGCGGGGCAGCGGGCTCGGTGCCCTGCGGGGCCATTAGCCGGCAGCAGCTTGGTTCTCTTCATTCAAGCTCCTGAATTAGCAGGAGTGAAACACTTTAGCGGCATCTATTATTAATACCTCCGCTAAAGCTCACAGACAAAAATAGCTGCCTGTAACGTACAATGACCTACATCGTACTGCAGAGAGGAAGGCAGAGAGCGGGAGGGGGTTGGGGGGGTGGGGGGGAAACAAAACGGGAGAGATCTCAGAGGGCAAGAGGCACCATTCAACGAAAAACAACAAGCGACCCCCCCCTACCTCCCCCCCCCGCCCGGCCCGGCCCGGCGGGCGCTGCGGGGAGGAGCGGGGCGCGGCCCCCGGCCCTGGGGGGCTGCCGCTCACCGCCCCGTCTCCTCCGGGGAGGCTTCTTGGCTCCCGCCCAGCCCCTGGCACACGAACGCGTGTGTGTGCGTGTGCGTGTGTGTGCACGGCAGCCTGCGCGGCTGGGCGTGCGTGCGCTCCGCTCGGGAAGCACCAGCCGTGGCCGTGGCGGAGAGGGGCTGTTTCTCGGGCCGGGGGGTGGCGGGGTGGGAGCGGGGGGGTGGATGTTTGGGGCTTTTCTCGGAGCGCGTCTGACGGCGGGGTGTGTTCCCTCCCCCGTGGTCCTGCCCCGCAGAGGAGGCGGAGGGCGGGGATGGGGAGCGGGCGGGCGCAGGGAGGGGATGGGGCAGGCGAACGGGGCTCCCGGGGCGCCCGGGTCGGCCCCGCCGAGGGGTGCCCAGCAAGTCAGCCAGGAGCCGGCGGTGGGGAGCGGAGCCCCGCAGAGCCCGGCTGACTCCTTCCCCTTGCTGCTCTCGTTGCCAGGCTGGAGGATGAAGTCTACGACGAGGATGGGAACACCCTGCAGGACTTCGCCTACGACCACGAGCCCCTCGGTATAGCCAACCCGTCCTCCATGATCGGCGAGATGTACACCTTGTATTACCCACCGGAAAAGAGGTGACTGCAACTCGCGGGGTGCCAGGCGTGAATTTTGAGCCGGGAGCAAAACGGGTCTGGCCGAGCCGATTGGGGAAAAACAAAAAAAAAAAATAATGATAGTACCCAACGAACCAACAGCAAACAACCCCCCCCAAATATAGATATATATTTATATGTGCGTGTGTAAATCCCGAACCCAAACAAGCGGCCACGCTGCCCGGGTCCCGGTGCCCAGTTGAAAGCGCAGAAGAAACGGAAAAGCCGCCTTACCTCCGGCAGCGCGGGGAGGGAGCGGGGGGAGCCGCCCGAGCCGGGGGGGGCTCCGGGGCTCCCGCAAACGGATCAGAAGAGCCCAGCCAGCGCGGAGCCGAGCAAGTGCGGCGGGGAGGGGTCTGGGTGGGGAAAAGGGGTCCCGAGGGGCGCGGAGAGATGCCGCCCTCCGCTCGCCGGCGGGGAGGGACGGTCACTGCCGCCGCCCGGGCTCCCGCAGCCCGCCGCAGCCGGCTCCCGGGCCTCGCCGCTCATCCGCGGGCTCTTGCCTCCGCCCAGGCACGCCGATGGGATCTTCAACAAAGCCTACAGGAAACTCCTGGGCCAGTTATCCGCCAGGAAATATCTGCACTCTCTGATGGCCAAGCGGGTCGGGTAAGGGTTTTCTGCTTTTGCTTTTGCGCGGTGGGCGGTGGTGCTGCCGGAGCGGAGGCGCTTAAAAGGCCGCGGCTGGAGGGAACAAAGCTGCCCCGGCCGGGGCGGGGGATTTGTGGCGCCGGCGGCGGGGCGGGGGGCAGTCCGGCTCCCCAAACCTCAGTCACCCCTCGACCGCGGCTCCCAGCCCGCTCCCGGGGCAGTGTGAGCCCGGCTGCCCGCGCCGGCGTTCACGGAGGTTGGTTTGCTTTAGTACGCTCGGGCATCTTTCTATACACTCGGGCATCTATCTATATAATGCGTGGATATATATATATGTCTCTCTAATTATTTGCAACCGGCTGGTTAAAAGTTGGGCGCCCCCCCCCCCCCCCCCCCCCCCGGTTTGCTGAGGGGAGCGGTCTGTCGGAAGCGATGACCGAGGGCTGGGCTGCAGCGGTGGGGCGGGGGGGACCGGGCTGCAGCCCTGCGGGGCTCCCCCGGGGGTCCCCGCCGCCGGCGGGGCAGGGGCGAGCCCGGGGCCGCCCGCCGCCCTCCGGCAGAAGGTAACCCGTTAATAAAACCCCTGGGAGAGCAGCTTGCCTTGCCGCAATGAATAATTCATGGCGGGGAGATATTGTCTCTCCCGCCGCCGCCCCCTCTTGCGCGCACCGCGTCGGGAGCGGGTTTCGGCGCGGCCTTTGTCTCCCCGCGCATCTTCCGCGCAACGTGTTGCGCCGGGGCGCTGCGCGGTGTCGGGAGTGGGGAGGGGGTGGGGGGGGGGGTGCGGGGGGCGGCACGGAGGGGCGCGGAGGGGGGCGGAGCGGCCCCGCCTGATGCAGCTGTGCTTCTCGGTGCTTGCAGCGGTGCCAGCGGCGGCCTGGGGGACGAGGCGGAACCGCTGACCAAGCGGCACATAGACGGCATCTTCACGGACAGCTACAGCCGCTACCGGAAACAAATGGCTGTCAAGAAATACTTAGCAGCCGTCCTGGGGAAAAGGTATAAACAAAGAGTTAAAAACAAAGGACGCCGAGTAGCGTATTTGTAGCGATGAGTAACCAGCCACTCCTGTGTATACAAAGTCCTGAGAGAGAGAGAGAGAGAGAGAGAGAGAGAGAGAGAGAAACCCAACAACAAAAAAAAATCTAAACAAAAACTAAAGTCATTTCCAAACTGACTGAACAATCACCGCTCCTGTGTTATCTAAACATGTATTTATGTATGAAGTAAAGCCATTAAATGAATATTTTGATAATAATATTGTTTTTCTTTTGTACAAAAGCACTAGAGAAACGCACAGATCTACTTTGTGGACCAATCATTAAGTTATATATAATATATAAATATATATATAAATACTACTACGATTATTAAAGAACAATTCTTCATATAAAGCCTGCACAAGAACAAGAATTCGCCTGAGCTGTTTATGTTTTTATATAAAATAAATAGAAAAAAAAAGACAATCATTGTTTTGAATATTGCTCCTATTTTTGTAATGGAAATTAAAAGGATAGTATTTTTATCCGTGACAGGGTCGAAGACATTAATTTTCACCATTTGCTACTGTACATAGAGAAGGATGCCCTGCTCCCAGGGGATTATGAGGAAAATGATTTGGGAGAATTGGTGAAGCAGATTCTTCCCCCGGTGAGTCTCAAGGCAGGCTCCTTTGCCACTAGCCTCTCTGAAGGGGCAGCGTCCCCTTTCCTCTAGATTTCGATTTTTTTTCCCCTCCTGCTTTCTTTGATTCCAGTTGTATCTGTATTAGTGTCTCCTCAAACAATGAGCTTAGAGGATAATTCTCTTGTGAAAACAACAGCTCGATCCAAATTATGCATCACTGTTGCCTATTGGAGGGAGAAATAGTTAAAAAAGCCCAAACCAAAATAATAATAACAACAACAAAAAATCTAAACAAAACCAAAAAAAGCCAAACCCCAAACCCCAACCCCTAAATCCCGAACCAGCAGCAAGGATAGTGAGTACTAAGCCCCGTGCACTGCTCTTCTGGCTGGCTGGGCAGAGTTGCAGGACAAAGCGAAAGCGGCGACAGGACCCGTTTGCAAAGAGCGGGGCCGTGAGAGCCGGGACCGGGGCCGGGACCGGAGCCGGTGCCGCAGGGTCGAGGGAAGACAAGGCGATCCCACCTCCGATCCGCTACCCAACTGCCCCGGGCAGCTCGGTACTGGACCTGGATGCAAAGTACAGTGTGTTACTCTCCAGTGCTGTCCATGCTTCTCATCATGTGTAATGAGCAGGGTTCTCGCCTTTGCATTTTTTCGGTCGGAGTTGCTTTTCTTTGATTGTTTTTTTCTTGTAGACCCTCCCGCCTCTCATCCTCTCTTCACACTTTTCCGAGCTCTGTTTAACCCACCTGAGTCACCTTTTCGGGTTATGTTCTTTTGGGGAAAAAAAAAAAAAAAAGAAAAAAAAAAAGAAAAAAAAAAGATTGTGAACGCTCTCTCACTCCTTTGTTCTGTTTTATGCAAGCTCTTATTGTACAAGTTTAGGAACCCCTGTTGTAGCTACCACTAAAGAATTATGCACTACTACGAAAGTTTTTGTTCCTTGTTTATTGAGTTTGGAGGTAAAATGTATTTTTCTACATTCTGGCTTATTGCTTAGTAAAATTTATTTCATAAAACAAACTTTTGTCATAAAAGAATGTGTAGTGTTCACCTGTGGTCCGGTTTCTAACGAGATAAACCATTTTCACCTCATCTCTCTATGTACGGACTCCTATCTTACCTTCCGCCCGGGGGCTGGCCCCGTCCCTCCGCCCGGGCAGGTGGCGAAGGAGGACACGTAGGTACCCGCTTCCTTCCAGCTCACCACACAAACCTTAGAGGAGTCTTTCCAAAGACACTAAACGAGCCCCGCATTCAAGACGTCGGAAAGCAGCCCTCCCCCCACCCCCACCCAAAAAAAAAAAAAAAAAAAAAAAAAAAAAGTCGCGGGTAAAAACTTCCTTCCCCGGCCGGGAAGAGCTGCTGGGGAGGGGAGAGAGGAGCGGGCAGAGCCCAGCGGAGCGGGCGGGAGCTGCCGGCACCGCTTGTGCGGGCTGCCCGCCCCGCTGGCACCTCCTGCCCGGCCCGGCAGCTCCTGCCCCGGCTGCCCCGGCAGCTCCTGCCCCGGCAGCTCCTGCCCCGGCAGCTCCTGCCCCGGCTGCCCCGGCAGCTCCTGCCCCGGCTGCCCCGGCAGCTCCTGCCCCGCCGCCGGTGCGGGCTCCGGGGGGGGGGCGGAGGGACGCGGGGCGCAGTTTGCAGCTTTCGTGCCTTCTCTTCACCTTGTAAATCGCCACGAGTTTCACGGATGGCTATTTAGTGGCCCTACGATGCTGCAACACATCGGCTTGCGTTTTAGTCGTACTTCTTCTGTTTTTTGGCAATGGGCAGAGTTTGCTGTGTTTGTGTCGGCTGTGGTATGACATAGGGCTCTCTTGACGTTTTATTTATGACCTTATCAGTTAGAGTTCAGTGGCTAGTCGCAAGCATTGTGAAGTGATCACCTAGGTTATTATCCTTTGTATGATTTTTTCCTTTTTTTAGAAACGCCAACAGCCTTACCAAAATCTGAGCAGATTTGAGATACATAGTAGGTAGATGTTAGTCTTGGAGAACTTATTTTGTGTGCAAATGAATATAAAAAGATCTTAAACAAAGTATTATTACACACATGATATCTATAACTAGGACTTTGATAACTGTTATATAAAGTGTGTAAAGTTTGTATTAATAAATTTTTGTAAACAATGCAATTTTGTCTAATGTTTGGGGGAGAGAAATCTAGAACCTAACAGTGAAAGCTGCATTTCTTTCTTTTTTTTTTTTTTTTTTTTTTTTTTTCTTTTCCTTAATTGGTTCATTTTTAAGCAGCGTTCTTCTAACTTTCCATGCCTGGGATATCTTTTTATGAAGTCTCCACATTTTATCATCAAATAACCTCTAACATTTTTACCGATGCTTACTCCTCTGTTCGAGTAAACTAAATAGAACTGCTGGAGTAAAGAGCCTAGTTCCACACACACCAGCTCAATAATACTCTCCAAAATATGCAAACCAAATCAGTCGGTGTCTATCGCCCATTCCTCTAACAATTCCTGTGCTTAGAAGCCATTTACTTTAAGCGGAATCGGTATGTTTGATGAGATCTTCATCTAATCCGCTTTTAATGAACATTCTGTATGTGCTAATGTGCTTCCCAGCGTCACCCGGCTTGGGCAACGGCAGCATCTTCCTTTGGATTAAACACATATTAGGCTGTCCTAAAAAAATGATACTGCAACACAACAAGGAGTTACTTCGGTTTTACAGGGTAATAGGTGGCTACAACGAAAAAGCACAAGCAGGGTCGTTTGTCAGCACAAAGCGGAGGTCAGGATATCCGACCTTTAATCTTCACTTTAGTTTAGCAATAGCTGCTTATGTTTATTATTTTTATTGTAGCTCAGGGACTTTACTCAAGTATGTTGGAAAGTAACAGCAATTTAGTTTAAACTAAACTCTATTTCCTTCTAAGATCATACAATTAAAAAACAAAGCACAGGAATTAAATGGCAATTTCCTAGCAATTTATTTCTCAAAACTCTAAGTCCAGGATTTGAAACAGACTGGTCATATCCTCTCTGCCACGAATTCACCTCCTAGGCTGGTTTCAACAACAGTATTTCACTAACTAACTGGAAAGCACTGAGAGAATTTAGAAAGCTAGTGGTATCACTGGCAAGTGTTAGGAATTAGTGCAAAGTGAGATAGAAATTATGATTAAATGCAGATTGGGTCAGGGAAGAATGCAAAAAAATATGTAGCGGGGGGAGGGGAGGGGAGAGGAGAATGATTTCTCAGACTGATAGCATAAAAGAATCAAGTCATTATTTCCCAAAGGCAGCATACAGTGAAAAATTGCTGTTAGGTTTATTCGGTAATTATGCAGTGCTCATACATATAATCACACTATGTTTCCTGCCCATCTAAAAATGTGCTTAAGAGATACAAGGTGAAGACCTTGGTATTGGTAGCTAGAGGTTGAAATCTGGGATTGGTCCATGTGAATAATAAGGTCTGCTTCATCAAGTCCTGGCACTTGTTGAAGACATGCAGAAGGTGGAGATTCTGCTGTAAATGTCGTAGAAATGGTCCCAACCTCACTCTACTGAAATTCCTCTTTACCAAATCAAATATGATTTCATGAAGAAGTTTAGCTCTATTCCCAGGGATTTGAACTGCAATCTGAAATTACACACTTGGAAAATGTGCAATACTGAGTCTTACAGCATGAGTTTTGTGGGGATTGCTGATGTCCTGTATGCTGCTATATGACTAGGTGCAGAAAGCCAGCTGAGGTGACAAGAATGACTAGACAAGACATGACTTTGGGGGCCTACATTGTAAAAACCTCCTGACATTCAGTCAGAGTGATAATCTCCAGTTAGTTAGTAAAGGAGCCTGGACAGAGCAGGGTAGACTGCTCCAGATCTCAGCCCCCAGAAACGCGGTGCAACAACACATCTGTCACAGAGCTACATAGGTCATCAAAACCAGAAGAGCCTGGAAAAAACGATGTCTGTAGAGCCCTGGTGTAAACCTGGCTGTGGCCAGCATCTACCTTTCACCAAGTTTGCTTGTCAGAGTGCTGACCTCCTCTCCATGTGCATCTGGAGCCTTTCAGCCTTCTTCAAATAACAAAGTTAATTTATTGTCTGTATGCATTTTCACCTAGTTACAGAAAATAGAAAATTAGGAGGAAGTTTGATCTTTTCTTGTCTTGTTACTTAATACTTTTGCTGCTTAATTTCCTGTTCTAGGCTAAATTGTTTAGTCTTTCTCCATGAAAAAACCACATCCCTGAAAATTTTAAGGACCTCATGCTTAGCCTCTAGAAGTGCGTGTCCTCTTAACTACACTCATAGATTTTTAAGACCTGAGGAGACTCTTATGAACATCTACTCTATCTTAGATAGTACAGGGTATAGGATTTCATGGAATCTTTCATTTAGAATTTAATTTATGAGTGAGCTGTTCTGTATGACAGCAGTATTGATTGTAAGACTTGCAGGAATGGCAAATTTTCTGGGTAAGTTGTTCCAAATGTGGCAGTTTAACACTCTGTTCCTTGCTTCAATTTGTTTTTTTTTTTTGAGTCCAAGAGATTTGTAGCCTGATGAAGAAACTCTAATACCTGTAGGTTTTCCTCTCCATGTAGATGGTCTTAGGCAGAGATTTACTCTCCTCTATGCCCTACCTTTGAGATAGCAAGGTTGATCTTTAAGTGCTCACCACGAGGGAGGTTTTCCACATATGGCATTATTTCTGAACCATTTGTATTTATTAACATCCTTGCTAAAGTGTTGAAACTAGAAATGGTTACAATATCCAGGAATGACCACCTCAATTATGTGGCAAAAAGTAGTAACTTTCCTCTTCTTCCTCAGATGCTGCTCACTGATAACAAGGGTTGCATTTGCTCTCTTGGCATTTCATCATGCTGGGAGATCATGACTTGTTCACAATTCTCTCCCACACCTAACTTCTTTTCTGGATGATTACTTCACATGCACAGAAGACCTGGCCTGGAAGTGACACCATCGTTCTTGGTTCCTATTTTGTACTACTTTGTGTTAAGTTGTGTTAAAGCACTTCTTTTTCAAGAGTTTACCTTACTGTGCTACTAGTCTGGGAGACATTAATTTTCCTCTGCACAGCCACCATGCTTTGTTGGCATGCAATCTCACTTGTCACCTGGTACCTATTCCTGCCACCTTTAGAAAGTGTAGCCCCATTCCAGCAATTCTATTTGCATATTGTGATACACGGGCCCAGTCCAGCTCCAGTGCAGATCTGTATAATTATGCCAGAGAAGGATTCAGCCCAGGTTAAGTGTAAATCCTGGGACAGAGCAAGTCTGAGTGACTTGTAGAAGGCTGCTGGCCAAATCTCCTTCTTTTGTACTTGAGTTCCTAGAGGCAATCCCATCTTGGCATAGCCGAGGTCCCATTCACTCTAAAACCATGTGGGACACCTGGAAGTGCTTTTTGCTAAAACTGACCATGGCTCAGTTACTTACCTGGAATACACAGAGAAAAGAAGTAGTACGTGATGCATTAGAGGTAATGTGGTTGAACTGCTAAGGCAGAATAAGTGTAAAACCTAATGCATCTTTTGCAATAATTAGTTAATCGCCTGTCGATAGGATTTATCCAGGCCTAAAAATGGGATTTAGTTTCAAACAAAGATATTTAAGCATCAGAAATATGCCAGTTTAAAAGCAGTGGAGACAAACATCCCATGTCTCCCATTTGCACAAGAGCGTTTGTTTCACAACTTCAGAAATGAAATATCTAAGGTAGATAAATGTATCGATCTCTGAAACAGTATAATTTCTTTATGTGGATGGCAGAGAGAATACCTCTTTCTCTTCAGGCTCTGAGACGAGTTTCAGATATTCCACTTCAAAAAGAACCTCATGAGGATTTATGGTAGCATGAAGTAGAGAAGTTGGACAGAAAAATGGCAGTCACTTTGGTTCTGTGGTGTCCTCCAGCGTCTCAATATCAGAATATGAGGAACTTCATAGGTATGTTTGGATGGGAAAGGATCTAACACCAACACGCACCTCCCAGCTGACATCCCCAAAATGGAAATGTGAACTGGAGAAAGGAGAGGGACGCTGAGAATTAAGACTTCTACGAGAAAGGGAATTTCCATTGTCATCTTCCACAGAT